TTTAATACTTTATGTTCTTGATCTCAATAAAATTATTTTTAGAGAATGAAAGAGAATAATAATTACATTGCAACTTGATTGGACCATTTAATTTAATTTATTGAAATTAATTATTTTCTGATTAGTTTGACATTGTTTTCAAGGTCAAACAACGTATTTAAAATTATTATTTATTTATTTATTTTTATTTTTTTACCTTCGAACACAAGAAGATTCAATTTGGATCTTGATGTCAAGATCCAAGTCTCTTGCCACCACGCCAACACCTGAGGATACACCCGAGGATGCAAAGTTGCTAATTATATGACATAAAATCTAGTTTGTTGTAGTATAATCTATTATGACGAATAATTTAAATTGTTAATTTTGAACCATGAATGTAAATAGATTTATAATTAGTACCATTTACTGTAGCATAATTAATTATTCAATAAATCAAACTCATCCCAGTGTATTGCCAAGAAGTTTATGATCCTTGGGAAAAATATTCTATAATCATATACTATTTAAACATGAAACACTATTTTTTTTTTTTGGACAGAAACACTACTTAAATTAAAACGTTTCTATTTCTTTGTCCATTCATTTTCAATCAAGAAAAATAAAACTACATTTTGTAATTATTCCATATTCCTTATTTTTTTTCTTGTTAATCCTTTGTTGTTTCTTCGTTTCTAAAATTTGAGACTAAAAAATGTAAAAGTTTTATATGGAATTCAAATTTTCAAAATTTTCATGTTATATATATCTTATGCATTTTAAAAATAAAAATGATTAAATATCGTTTTTATCAATATTTTGAAAAAAAATTGAAATAGAATAAAAAGCAATAAACTTGATTTTGTTGTTTCCAAAATTAGAAATTTAGAAATTTTTATTTGAAATGAAAAACAAGAAATATGACCGTTACTAAACACTATTTCTAAAAAAAAATTGAAAACAAAGAACAAGATACAAGATACGAGAAGGCTATCAAACAAGACAAATTAACCCTAATATGTACCATGCACATTTCCTTAGTTCATAAAATCATTCTCTATCTATATCTATTCTCGAATCCATTTTCTTGTTCTCACAACCACTATGTCTTTGTATTCATACATTTTGAAAATTGATAAATTTCTAAAAAATGTATATCCATTTTTTTTAGTAATTGAGTAAGACAGAATCTTTATTAGATATAGTGACTACGCTACTTAATTAGGTAGGACGTATTAATGCTGCTTTTACTTTTTCTTTTTCCAACTACTGTGACGAAAGAAAGTAAATAAACTCCGCTTCTTGCGTTGCACCCATAGCTTGGTGTGGTTTTTCTTTTTTTTTTTCAATTACATGCTCTCTTGGGTTACCTCTCAAAATTAATTCGCAACGAAAGAAGTAGTCCATGACCCTTCAAGATAGTGGTTATTTTAGACTCGTTAATTTTGTCTGGATCTCTCTCTTTTTCTTGACGGAATGTTTGTTTGAGCTTGTTGGAGCATCTTAATATTTATGTGATTTTATCTTAAAACTAATTGACAATAAAAGAACTAACCATGAATCCTTAACAAGACGAAAATAATATTAATATAACATTTTAAAGAAAGCCAGTTATCAAATGTCACATGCATCCTACGTTATATTATAGGAAATTTGATTAAAAGTATGTGATGAAATTTCTAGCTACATTAAGAACCAAAACTTGTCCCATAAATTTGATGCAAAAATGTTGTATTGACATCACCATTGCCTTTGTTGTCTGAGTTGGGAAAGTCAAGACTCTTGACTCTCACTATATAACAAAATATATATAAATAAAGAAGAATATAAACAAAAAGGGAAATAAAAGAAAAACATTTGCTTTGAAAATAAGCAAAGTGGGTGTGAATTGTGACTTTCATGGCCATGTTGTGTCCCTTTCACATTTGTTTAAGAATCAACTTACTCTTAACTTGTGGCATTTAATTTGTTTCCTCTCTCTTACTAAATTAATACCTTTTTCTTTTCCTTATTAACATATGTGTCTATATTTCCCATCAAACATCCATTAATCCTTTGGGTTAAGGAAAAGAAAGAAAGGAAAAAAAAAAGGGAGAGAGAGAAAGAAAAAGAAGACAAAGATGGGGATGAAAAGGACAATTGGAAGGTCCACTTGACACATCATTCACACATACAAGTTCTTTCTGTCATAAACGAGAGCTAGACTCAACTTGAACTTGGGGCAACCAAAGCAAATATAGATAAGTCGTAATTGACATATAACTTAATCCAAGAGGATGGAAATTCGATCTCTCACCTCACGTGTTGTACTAAAAAGAAAAAAAAAAAGAGTTCAACTTGGGAAGATTATGACCAACAAAAAGAACACTAATATTTGGTGAAATGGCGATTCTGTTGTCAAAGGATCTTCCAATCAGAGGTAAACCAAAACCTGCAAAATAACAGCTAAAGGAGTCACTTGAACTTAAAAACCTACACATCCTTTAAAAAATCACAGGAAGATCCAACCATATATAATAAGACTATGACATATATAGATCAAAGTCTTTGGTCAATTGTAGCATAAAGAGGGCAAACTCACTCAAAGAGCTAAAAAATGATTTATTCCCAAAATCAAAAGAGAATGAATTCCAAATCCAAATCCAAGAGGCAACAAGGAGACAGAAAACAGAAACAAAATGAGTCACATAAAGTTAGAGGAAGAGGAAGGGGAAGAGAGAAAAGCAGTGGGACTCAACTGCACTCACTTTAAGCATCACAGGTGGGGCTGTGATGAACCTTTGATTTTAGAATCATTGCAATTTTTGCCTTCCAACTTTTTGCACAGAGGGAATCTCAAACTTACAAAAAAATTAAAAAAAAAATTAGAAAAAAGAAAAGGGTATGTCATTGTGGAATTCATGGGAAAAAGTGAAAGGGAATCACACCCAAAGAGAGGCCCAAATGTGTCAAATCATTCATTTCTAAACCTTTGGAATATGTGCCAATTTTTGGTAAAACTTAAAAGTTAGTGACTTTTTTTTCTCTTGGGTGTTGAATTGTAGGTGTGGCCAAACACTAAATTCCATCCCAAGAATCAGTATTTTTTTTTTGATAAAATACATTTTCTTGTTCTGAATCTGCGATTAGGTTTTTATTTAGTCCCTAAATTTCAAAAAACGACAGTTTAGTCATTGATTTCTAGAAAATAGTTCTAAATGGTCATTTAGTGATACTAACGAAATGTTGATGTGGCACTGGTGAGTTGGTAATTTTTAGATGATTAGACAATATTAATAATTTTCATTTTATTTTTATTTTACATGTCAAAATTTTCCCATTTTCTATCTTCTCTCTCCCTTTTCCCTCCTCCTCCGCCTTCTCCATTACTTCCCCTTCACCGTGCGAGTTGGCAGCCCTCACTCGCGTCTCATCCACCAACTCCCTCAATGCCTCGTTGAAACCCTTCGTGTGTGGGGCTTTACAGTCCGTTGGCTATAATTTTCCATGCCGACAAGTCGATCTCACCCTGAATAGAGTAAAGAATCTGGCAATCGTGGTACCATCCCGTGCCTTCCTTCTGGACAATCTCGTTTAATCCTGTGGACCGAATTGTTCATTCAGGGCTCGTTTGGTAGCGTTCCTGTTTCCTATTTCTCGTTTCTAATTTTCTTTAAAAAATCTAAGCATCTTGCAACTAGCTATATTTATTGTTCCTTATTTTTTTTTTGGAACATTTCCAAAATTTAAATTTTGAAAACAACCCAAACAAGTTTCTTTTTTCTTGTTCCAATTTTCCATTTGCTCCAAAACATAAATAAGAATAGTATATATAGTATCATACTTGATTTCATGGATGTTCAATAAAAAGTAATTTATCAATTCACAGTTAATACAAAAGAAAAAAAAAACCTTTAAATGTATTTAAAGCACATCTAGAAATAAAGGCAGTCTCACAAATTTATTCTTTTCCAGAAAACATTTTTCTTGGACGAAATGATAATCAAACGAAACCTACGTAAACAAACCTAAGTGTATTACGACACATTAAAATCAATTTTTTTTTCTTCTTCTTTCTTTTCTTTTGGCAATTTAAAATAAGGAATCCTGTCCCTCACAACAAACACTATTTCCTCGACCCAATAACAATGTTGAAATTTAGGGCACTGTTTGGCAGAAGCGAGGGACAAAAGATGGTGGGAAAAGACAGAAAAATAAGGAAAAGTAAAAATAAGTAATAGAAAAACAATATTTGGTCATAGTACCAACTACCAGTGGTTCTGTTCCGTATATAATTTTTAAATATCACATTATCATTTTTTTTAATAATAGAACTACACTATAATTTACATGTCCAAAATATAGTTTCAAACTCTAGAGAGAGAAATTAGATGTGTGTGAGTATGCACACGTGTGGAAGAAAGAGAAAGACATGTTAGAAGAATGTTTGGAGTAAAATAAAGATATGTTGGGTAGAGAGAATATATGGCGCATGTACTTAAAAAAGAGAGATTTTAAAAAATGAAAAATTATTTTCACATACTTTTTTTTTTCTTTTAGAATTTACTTCCAGTTTTAAAACTGACAGTTATCATTTAAAAAAATATAAAGCCAAATACCAGAAGATAATAATAATAAATAAAATGGTTATAAAGAAATCCCTTATTACTTGTTGTTTCATAATTTTTTTTGCCTTTTAATTTTAATGTCATAATAATTTTTATAAGAGTTAGAACCTACCTCATGATCATTTTGCTTTTGATTTTATGTTTCTAAAAGATTAAGTTGGAAAATACTTAAAATTCCAAAGTCCACTCATTGATTAGACACAAGATTAAAAATTCAATTTATTAATTCCTTAGGGACCAATAAGATATAAAATTGAGAGTCTAAAAACTTATTAGATAGATGTAGTAACTTTAGAAACCAGGTTTTAATAATCAAAAACTCAATTTTGTATTTAATAAGTTCGTAAATTTTAAACAACGTAAAAACAAACAAACCAGAGATTCCTTAAACACCGAATCAAAAACTCAGAGAGATTAAAAGTTCAGTGACTTGAGACCAATTATATATAAAATTGAAAGTTCAACAACCTATCAGAGATGAAACAAGAAACAAGACCAGAGATGAAACCGAAAACGCACCGAGAGGAGAAAAGGGTGAATGTTCATATAATCCCCACCTCAAATTCAAGACCAAAGGGTGAATGTACAGTATAGGGAGTGAGTAGTGTACCTGATGGAGAAGGAAAAATGATAAGAGTGATGAGGAAAGCACAGATATGGAATCTTTACGAGAGCCTGCACTGCACTAATCACTATTGCCTGCAGGCAGAGGCAGATAATCAATAGAAAAAATGGCAGAAAAATGTGAGAAATCATATCAGTCTCTTCTGTCGTTGTACCACTACGCCAATGCCAATCAACAATTCAATTATTTTCGTTTTCAAATTGTACCTCCAAAAGCTGCTGCATTGTTTTTTCTTTGAGTGCTCACTCATCAAAGCTTGTTAAATACTTCAGCCTCTTGGGTAGTAGGTAGTACCTTCCTTCACATCACCCACAATAAAAATGAAAGGGTTAAAATTGCATTCTCGTCATTTTTCTTTTCCCCCCCTCATTACTTATTCTTATTGTCGTCTTTAATTTTTGTTTTTTTTACGTCATTACAATTTTAAATTACATTTAACAAACATCTAAGGCCATTTGTTGTCAAACCTGATATTATATTTCCCTTCCCCATAATGTGATATAAAAGTTCTCAAATCAAAGTAAAACAATAAAAATATAAATACGTAAGTATGAAAATTACAAAAACCAAAGTTTAATTTAACACATTTAACTACGGAAATTGAAAGCCAAATTAAGTTCTTGTTCAAGCATCAAATTTTAAAATAAATTTTTGTTTACTAAATGACAACATTAAAAAATAATTCGTTTTATTCTCACGAAAAGCAAGGCTGGTGAACAATGATATCAACTGCGATATCAACTGCACAGTAAATCAATATTATGCATATAAGAACTACAATAAATTTTTTTAATAGTTCTAATAAAACAAAAATTTAAAACTATTATGAAAAGGAAATGTCTGTGTATATATAGCAACTTTTTTCACCTCCTATTTTCAAATTTTCACGTTTCCTTAAATTTGTTAAACCTAAAAGCTAGGGGAAAAATGCCCATTTAATAAAAACAACAAAAATATTTTTTTTTAGCAATGGTGCTTCCCTTCGACAACCATTAAGTTTTAAATTTTTATTTAAAAAAAAAATCCCTCACAAATCATAGTCAAATCTAAAACTTACAAACAAGTTTTGAAAAATCTAGTTGAAAATCAGGCAATAATTCGTTTCAAATTAAAACAATCCTCATTTTCAGAAACAGAAAATTAAAAGCAAACTAACAATCAAATCCATTCTTAACCATTTCATTTCGAACTAAACGACTATGATTCTCTTCAACATTATTATTA